AAGGGTCCTAGGCAAAATAAGAGATAAGGGCTCTTAAAAAATAACTTAAAATTCAAGAATAAATTTCGGTAAACGCCAAACAAATTTTTTCATTAAAAATTGTACGAGTAGATACTATTACATTAACCAACATTATTTTACCAAATATATAAAGAGACATCACAATTTTTCACTCAATTTACTCTTATTATGTCTTCAATCATCTCTTAGAATTGTTTCTCTCAATCAAAAATTGACGCCTTTCACCTACAAAACAACATACACAAATTCTCATAAGAAACATTTTCTTCTAGCAGTTTGAGATGCAAAGTCATTGATAATAACATCAACATCAATATTTCCTATCATCTCCTTCTCAATTGCTAATGTTGCTAAACCATTTAACCTTTCTTGTGACATTGATGACCTCAAGTATGTTTTTATTAATTTAAGCTTTGAGAAACTTCTTTCGGCTGAAGCTACGATCACAGGCACATTTAATAAAATCCTATAAGCAATTGAAGCATTCGGATAACAATCTGCAGATTTGACAAACTTAAGAATTTCAATGGCGGATAACAATTTTGTTGGCAAAGTCATTTGTAAGACTTTCAATTCAGAGAAAAGATCATCTAAGTCAACATCTGATGAATTGCCATGAGAAAAGGTAGAATGAAAATGAGCACAACATTCTTTCAACTCATTATCATCTAATGACTTTAACTTATTTGAATCATATAAAAATCCAAAAATACTTTCAAATGTCTTCAATTGCTCAAATCTATTCTTGAAAGAAGTAATTGCCATATCTACCACAACCAAAAAATAATTAACTCTAAATGACTCTTCAGGCGATTCAACTTCGTTATCCTCATTATTCTCTCCAAAAAAATTCTTCCTAATCACACGACGTTTTGTGGGAAAGATAAGCTCCACATCCATTTCAAATGCAAGACTTTTAGCTACATTCATACTAGTTGTAAAGCCTTCATCTCTATATTTTTCAAAGTAGGACATCACACCTTCTAATTGCCTTATGGTAGTATCAATGCACATAGAGTTAGATTGTAATTTCTTGCTTACCATATTAACAGCAAATAAAATGTCATACCAAATCACAATACCAAGCAAAAACTCAAAACTTGAGAGTGCATTCACCAAACTCTCAGCTTCACTTTTTGACTTTGCATCATTTTCACAAGATTCATATAATTCACACAAAGTCAATCTTATTTGGGGACATTGAAATCTAATAGCTTTGACACTTTTAATTCGACTCTCCCATCGAGTATTTGATAAATATTTCACAGTTAATCCAGGAACATTATCAAGTAAAATTTTTCATCTCTTTGTAGAACCCGAAAACAATGCATATATGCGTTGAACAACTCCAAAAAAAGAAATAGCTTTAACACAAGAATGTGTCATATCACCCAGAGTGAGATTTAGACTATGACAAGCATAAGGCATGTATAATGCTTTTGGATTAATTTCAAGAAATCTTTTTTGAACACCTTGGTGATTTCCTTTCATATTAGAACCGTTATCATAACCTTGTCCCCTCACATAATCAACATTAAGATCAAAAGACTTCAAAACATTTTGTAGTTCATTAAAGAGTCCTAATCCAAATATATCATCCACTTTTAGAAACTCCAAAAAGAACTTCTCAATTAACTTTGTTATTTAATGTATTAACACATCGAACTATGAGGGTCATTTGTTCTTGATGGCTCACATCAGGCGTACAATCAAGAATTATGGAAAAGTATTTAGCCTCTTTAATAATCTTAATGATAGAATTTATCACACTTTGAGACAAAAAGGAAATGAATTCATTTTGAATTTTATGTCCAAGATAATGATAATGAATTTCACGATCCTGAATGCGTCTAACATGATCTTGCATAATCACATCAAGCTCTGCAATCATTTCAATCAATCCCAGAAAATTACCATTATTATCTTGATATAGTTTTTCATTGGATCCTTGAAATGCAAGATTATGTTTAGCAAGACATTTCACAACTGAGAATATTCTTTGTAACACTTGTCTCCAACGCTCTTTCTCTTTCATAATCTCTTCTTGTAAATTTTTATCGATTGTTTGATTTTTGATCCAATCTTACTCTCAATTCATTCCAATCACTTAAGCCATCATTTGCTAACAAACTTACATTACTAATCGATTTGAATAACTTGCAACAAAAACAATATATTTTGTCAACATTTTTGGAATAAACTAACCATTTTCTATCACTAGTCTCACCATTGCTCAACTTTCTAGAATAACATGCATATGAGAAATGTCTATAATATTTATCAACATGAAATTCAAGATCCATTTCTCTTATAGGCCCTTTTTCAACTAACATATCTCTCGCATTATTGTCAAGATTCTCCCAATTTATAGGATCGTATATATTCAAATGAGGAAGTGTTTCTTCACCAATGCCTAAATTTTCAACATTTTCATCAATTGACACATCATTAAAGTCAATTGGATCATTCACTTCATCATTCACATTTTCAGGATTTTCAGTATGCAAATTTTCAGTTGATTGATTCAAAGTTGCATGAGAATTAGCATTTTTAAATACAAATTTATCAAGAGCACCTTTTTGTGACTTCTTTAACTCATCCTCTCGCTTTCTTTTTTTTTCTTTTTTCACTTCCAGACAAATATTTTTTAGGCAACATCTCATCAAAGAGTCAAACACAAACTAATTCTAATAAATAAGTATAAGAAAAGAACAATTGCACATGGATTCTTCAATTAGAATTGTAACCCATGGGAGTAAGATAAAATCCCAAATTCCCAATTTGATAATTGACACTGTTGACATAAATATTAATAGTTATAACATGAACACCAAAATAAAAATATCAAAAAGCATCAAGCAAATAGAGCCTTAGCAAATTGTATCAATCATCCTTTTAAAACATTTAAGTTATAACAAAACTTTACTACACACAAGACAAATCATAATTTAAAACCAGAAATATATGCCAAAATTTTACTACACACAAGACAAATCATAATTTATTTCTTTTTCCCCTCCATTCAAGAGAAATCAGAGAATACCAAACATTTTCTTTAATTTCTTGAAGTAACACACAAACCAGAGAATCAATACAAGAGTCTTTATCCATTCGTTTTTTATTTCGAATACAACAAGAATAAAAACACAAATTTATAAAGCAAAATAGAGTCAAAGAGAAAGGGGAAAGCGTTACTTGTGAGTCATCGGAGCTTTCCATCGAAGTCGGGTTCATCGGAGCAAACAGAAACCAAAGTTCAGGTCTCGGTTTAAGGGCGGTTTGGCCTTATTTATGCGATTTTCAGTTTTGATTTAGATTAAGGTAAATAGATCGGAGTATTTAGGATGTTTTAGGCTTTGGTGTTGATTGTTGAAGGTAAATAGAGTGGTGGCCGGTGAGATGTTGAAGGTTTTGGAGAAGGCGGCTGTGAGTTGCTGAGAAATAGGGAGAGTGAAACGGCTCGGAGAGTTTTTTTAAAATAGGGTTATAAAATGGGTAAAACCAAAAAGGGTAGCATTTATAATTCAGTTGTAAGAAAAATGGTACAATCAGGTTCATGCCAATTGCCATCCAGCTTTTAGTGCTTATTAGAGAAATGGGCCCCCTGTTTTACAGATGCTTTAGAGCCTTTATACCCATTTCTTTTTAGATAAAAAAATCTGATTCCCTTTTCTAATAGTTAAATTATTATTATTTTCAAGAATTGACTTCCATCAAACCTGGGCCCTAGGCGATCGCCCTCCACGACTGGGCTCAGGGCGGCCCTGAAAATTAGGTGGAGCTGATCCATGAAAATGGGAAAGAAAGTGATGCAGATAACTTCCGTCGCCGTGTGGAATACATGACATGACAGCTTCTAGGCTAAGGCTGTTCAAATTTGACTGTTCTATCATGCAGTTTGTGCTTGAGATCAAATTCTAGGTACCCACTCTTTGAAGACAAAAAGGTCTTTACCTTTAGGCAAGGTTTTTGCTTTCTAAAGGAAGTCTTGGCTGCTTTTGGTCCACTTAAACCCAAACTACAAAGTCAAATTGAGTGGCTTCTTTTTCCATGTAAATTAGATAATAAAAAAAAAGTTACTCTCTTTTATTTGGTTTTAAGAATCGTCCTCACCCCATTTTTAATATGAAAAAGATAAAATTTGTCGATGAAAAAGTAAGATTAGGGTGGTTATTGTGTTGCACTTTTCGCATCTGGTTGTTAGATAAAAAAGAATAAAAAATATCGAGTTAAAAATAACGGTGAGCAATCATTAAAAGAGATAAAAAAAGAGAATCTAAGAGAGTTTGTTCACTTTCATCAGTTTTGTATGATGACTTATATAATGGCCTTAATATTGGTGTCTGACTTAGGATGGTATAATTATTCACAGGTTAAGAGGTAAAATAGAGTTAACCATGATATTACGTGAGTATGCTAGAGATTACATTAATAGACTATAGTTGTTTGAATGTTTTAAGATACTCTAAAAGACATGGAACTTCATAGACCTCGAAGAGTTCCGAAAACCTCAATCCTCAATAGATGATAAAATTACCGCACATATATAGATTAGGAGTTTTGAAGGAGATATAACATAATTAAATCTCTAAAAGTGATCTTTCATATCACGTGATAAGGTGATATTATGTTCGTTGATTTTTCATCTCAAAGCTAACCCTTGGTCCCGAACATTGACAAATCGAAAAGAAAGCAACGGAGTTTCATTTACTGTTTGCAATATGGAAAGTCGTTCATTGTCAAATGAGCTTGGCTTCTTTCCAAGTGCATGGAGAGAGTCTCAAATCTCAATAATTAGATTGTCGGCCATGCCTTTTGCCATGTGTTCAATCTTGCAGTGCACAAAAAATCTTCCAAGATGCATGATAGTTCAAAACCCTCATCGTTTAGCTTAGCATCCCATTTTAAGCCATGCATATAACATTGGCAATAAAATTTAAGATTAAATTCAACTTTATACTCTGTATCTGTAACAATTAAAAAAGAAGAAAAAAACAAATTAAGGGTCCGAATCGTGTATCTATATGCCTCTGTTAATGGAACTGGAAGAGATGGCACCGGTGGAAGATGAGGGATAAGATTTAGTGATGCTATGAGAAGAAAGTGTTTCCAGGAACATGGAGTACATTTCATCTCTAGAATCAAAGGAATCCCAGTCATCAATAGAAGGAAGATGCTCATCCCCGTTGAGGTACCGCACAATTTTGCTAATGCTAGGCCTAGTTTCAGGCTTCTGTTGACAACAAAGAAGCCCCAACAGCAACACCAGCTTCACCTCTTCCACTACATAACTTGAATTCAACTTGGTGTCCACCGCATCAAGAATGTCACCCATTTGATGGCACTCGATTACCCAATCCACCAAGAAGAAGTTCCTTGAATCGACGGGCTTTCGCCCGGAAACGATTTCGAGCAGCAAAACCCCGTATGCGAAAACGTCGGAGCTAGTAGAAGCCTTGCCGTTGCGAGCCAATTCGGGTGCGATATATCCGATAGTTCCGACAACGTTTGTGGTGTGCCAATCGGTGCCGTGATCATACAACCTCGCGAGACCAAAGTCCCCCAACCGTGCATTCATGTCGGCGTCGATTAGAACATTGCTCGACTTCACGTCTCTATGAACGACGACCAACTCCCATTCTTCATGCAGATATAAGAGTCCGGCGGCGATTCCTTTAATGATATTGAATCTTTTGTTCCCAGCTTAAAACAAAGCCTTGTGTCTTGTCGAAGAGGAGGGAATAAAGGCTTCCGTTGGGAATGTAATCATAGATGAGAAGAAGATCATTCTTTCGCTTACACCATCCTTGAAGATAAACCAAGTTCTTGTGCCTTAATCTTCCTAAGCTTTCGATCTCGGCTACGAATTCTCTCAAACCGTGGATTGAACTTTGAGTTTGGGTTATCTTTTTAACAGCAACTTCAGTTCCGGTCATCGGCAAAACACCTTTGTATACGGAAGCAAATCCTCCAACTCCGATGATCTCACTCTGCTTGAAGCCCTTAGTTGCTGCATGAAGATCCTTGTACCGGAACCGGTGAGGACAATCTAACTCCCAATCTTCAAGATTCTCTGACCCGCCAAGCCTTTTGTACAACGTGAAATAGATCAATATTCCCAACAATAAAACAGTCACGGTCGATAAAGAAGCAATAAGAGCGATGACTCGACGATCGTAGGATGATCCGTCTTGTTCTCTTGCTGGTGCCATGGGAAGCTCGGAAATATCGAGCACTGGCGCTGTTCCGTTCGTCGAGAAGCTCCACCCTAATATGTAATGGGAGCTTGTCTTTAGCCCCGTGGATGCAGAAAAGCCAGCGTACATGGTGGATGGAACAATATGTGTCAAGTCAATGGGACTAGAAATGAGAGGCTTCGAGGGTTTGCTAATGTTCAAAGGACTAATTGTAACATTCACAACGTTCCCATCATATTCGATCCAGGCCTGGATCCGATCGCCGCTCTCCAGCACCATATCCTCTGTCCGGTCCGAGTTACCCATGAAATAGTAGGCCGATCTTGACACGGTTGAATTCATGCTATTGATGTTAATCCCGACATGGTTTCCATCACTGTCCCCTTTGTCGTTGTGTCCATTGACGGTATCGAATTCCACCGCGAAAATATGGTTGGAGGGTAATCCATCATTCTCCTTGTTAAATATTCCCATGTAATGCTCCGCTTCGGCTCCGGTGAACTGCTTGGACGGAGACAACGTGAAAGCAAGACCGTGACCACCTAGTCCTCGACCGGAGCTCGAAGGAACGATAGCTAACACGAAAGTTGTGCTGAAAGACTTTTCGCCAAGCATTTGAATTGGTTCTGCATAGAATGCATGGCCGATTGTATTACGTGAATTGTCTGTCAGCTTTAGGGCACCACTAGGCCTACTAATGGAAGCTCCATGATCAAACGTAAAATTCGATTCACTTCCATTAAAACCATTGAAGAAGAAAGTTGTGGGCTGAGTTTGAGCAAAAACTGGGAAGAAGATGAACCAAATGAAGAGAAGGAAAGCCATGTTATTTTACAAAGTTTTTCTTTATTGCAGCTTTAGGTTAGTATGAAAAGAAGATAATATAGAGCAAAATTCTGTGAATAGAAATGAATTGTCCTAAATGGAAAGACTTGAAGGTTTCAAAGTCAAGGTCTATTGACATTTTAGGGCACGTCTGATTGGCTCAAAGTTGATGAGTTGAACAGTGGTGGGCGGGTGATGTAGGGCAATTGCCGTAAGGAGGTAGAATTTGAATTTTCTGGACCTCCTAGAACTATTGTCGTATCATACCATAATAATCAATATTTGAGGTTCAAAATAGATATTATTAAAAGGGATTAGAATGTTAATGCAATAACGTAGCAATTGATGAGTTCAATTTGAGGGATTTTTGAGTCGAACGAATTTATATATGGGTTAATATTTTGGCATAATGATAAAATTAACATTTAATATTTGTATAAATAATCACTTTATTCTCTCTTTTTTAGCATTTTAAATTTAATATTATAATTTTTAGTTTAAACAATACATGTTGGATGCAAACCGTTTGATGATTAACTATTAACGTATGTTGTTGATGTATCATTTTCGTATGTGTTTAATTGATAATGTATTAAGTATCATGTCACAAAAAATGATGACAAAACATGTGTCATATCACCAAGAATGATAACATGACATCTGTCATATCACTTAAAGTGATGATACGATATGTGTCATATCACAAAAAATAATAGTGTGACGAAAAATTCTACAGCGCACGTTGCTCATCGCAATACACTCCTAAAACGACGTGTCGAAACACACAACTAGTTAAATTATCCTTATTAAGTAAATATTAAAAGGGTAAATTACACGTTTTGTACCTAAATTATCACTTTTGTTTCGTTTTAGTATCTACATTTTAATTTTTTTAAAACCAATAACGACAATACTTATGTTGCATGACATGTGACATGTCTTACCACCTATGAGATAAAAAGTTAGAAATCACTCTTGCTTCTAATATAAATTAAATTTGTGTCTCTTACATGAGAAACAAATCACTTGACCATTAGACTAAGCTAATCATTTAGTTGAATTTTATCACATTTTGTATTTAACTTATATAACGGTATCCAATTTAATATCCTGAATTCATCAATTCTGCATACTTTGTGGTAAAACAACATTAAAATAATTTTCTAGTTTGAGCTCGGAACTAGGGGTGAGCAAAACTCGACTCAACTAGAAAAATCAAAATTAATTTTTTTAATTTGAGTTGAGTTATTTAAGTTATTCGAGTCAACTCGAATTATTGATTCAATTTTTGAGTTCTAGTCAAGTTGAAATTTGAAAATTTTAAGTTACTCGAAAAACTAAAAATTTGACTAAGTATTTTGATAGTTTTATGGTTTAGTCATTGATTTCATGATTCCTTCAATTCCTCCTTCATTTTAAGTCTATTTTTACCAAATTTGCACCACATGCTCCTAAACCATCGTAGAATAGATATGTATTTTTAATTTCTCTTTTTGATAATTTTTTTTTTCAATTTAGTTACTCAAATTTTCATAATTTTCTTATTTCTTCAATTCATCATTTATTTTAATTTCATTTTTTATCAAATTTAAATCACATACTCATATACCACTACTAAATACCTCTGTAACTTAAATTCTTATTTTTGACTAAAAATGCATTCTTTTTTTATTCCCTTAACTTTACATTTTATTTGATTTTGTCTCTTAACTGAAATTGTTTTTAAATTCTTTCTTCACATCAATTCTTTGATTCATTTATACTCTCATCAATATTTAACCCTAAAAAATGCTTTCTTTAAAATATAATACTGTAAATATGTTTTATAATTTTATATTGTATTTGATATATTAAATAACATTATAATGTGAAAAGAATATGAAATATATTTATCTTATATGGTTAGAGAAAGTAAAAAAATTAGAACCAATCCTAACCATAATACTAAAAATAATCATAATAAAATTAGCATAGAAACTCGAATAACTCAACTTGAATAACTCGAATCAAATATCTTAAACTCGACTCGAAAAAGATTTCAAGTTAAGTTCGAGTTGTAAAATACGACTCATCAACTCGAATAACTCGAATTTTTTTACTTGATTCGATCGAATGCTCACCATAATCATAACCAAATAGGGGGTTTTGATTCAAACAATAACAGCCGATCGAGCACCAAAAAGGTGGTAGAGGGCACACAAGGGGCGAAAGAGGGCACACCAACGGGTATTGAAGAGCATTAATGGGGTCAGAGGTCCAATCTGGCCGCATGGGCGCCACTCCCAAATTGTACCCCTACGACAAGAACACCCTAGAAAACAGTCGAGGTTAACAACGGTGACGAAAGGTCTCAGTTTTCCCCCTTAATAAATGGCTAACGACGATGTCACAACAATAAGGAGAACACGAGGCAAGGTGGTTGTACTTCGACGACGTTGTTCGTCAAAAAACAAAGGTGATAAGGACAAGGTGAGGGAGATGAGAGAAAATGACGCACAATGGACAAGCAAAAGAAGAATGAAAAAGGGAGACTCATGCGACTGAAATAAAATAAAAGGGCATAGGGTTAAAAAAAGGGATAATTGTATCATAAGTCCCTATATTTCTTACGTTTCTAAAAATGGCCAAATATTTTGATTCTTTGACAAAATGGTCACAAAAGTTTTTGAAAAATTTAATTTGATCTTAAATAAATTTTTAGGATTTTAAGGAAAAATCCCCAATTTCTAGGGTTTTTAATTTGGGATAAAAATGAGGTGTTATACTATTCCAACCTCGTATTGTGAGTTAAACATTTCTTTCATTTATGTAATGGTGCAATGAATATTCCTGGTTTGAGCTTTCAATTCTTCCGTTTATGCTACTCTTTTAGTTTTGAGGTGTGTAATATCCCAAAATTTGGATTAGTGGTTGGAATGTAAAAATTTGAAAGACTTTGAGACTAAAGTGTAAAGTTGTAAAAGTTCAGGAGCTAAAAATGTTAATTTTTAAAAGTTATATTTTGGTCCTGTAAATGAGTAATTTAACTGAAGAATAATATTTTAGTGGTTTTTATATTTTTGATTTGGTGTTTGTATAAAATTCTATTAAACGATAAAGTTCGATATAATACTCGGATAATCAAATCGAGTAGTAAGTCTAAAAAAAATTTAAGGAAGGTAATTTTGGGTTAGAAAAATTATAATGATAATTTTTATCAGTGGATTGGTGGAATTTGGTGGAAATTGCATTATAAGTTGAATAGTGCAATTTAGTGACTAAAATGAATATTTTGAAAATTAAAAGAACAAAGAGGGAAATTGATAATTGAGATTTTTATATATATTTAAGAATATTAAATTGGAGATAAAAGGATGGCATTGAAGTAAATAAGTGGATTCATTAATGGCAATTTTAACTTTTAGCCCAAAATGAATAAAAGAATTCATTTTTAATTAGATTTTAAAGGCGAGGTTGAGAGATTTTTTTTGTAAAGAAAATTCAAGAAATCTCTATTCTTCTCCGGCAGTTGGACGAAACACCGTAGCTAATGTGAGTTTGATTTTCTTTTTCAATTTTTGGTTCATTTTAATTAGAATTTAAACTAAAGTGTGAAATAGGAAAAATGTTTAACGCTAAATTCTCTTTCTTTTTGTATAACTTTTGCATTATTTCATGCATAAAGAGTGAAATAGGTGTTTATGGTGGTTGAAGGGGAGGTGATAAATCAATGAAATAAGATTGGATTTTGATTTTAGGAGTGTTATGTAATCATATACAAGTTTAAAAGTTGATTAAAAATCACTAAGGGACCAACTTGGATTCGGTTATGTAGGGAATTTATGGGAAATTTTTTATTTTTATTTGTTTTTGATGTGCGAATGATTAGAATGAATGGAAATGAGTTGTAGGTGATGAAATCAAGCTTGAAACAAAGTTGGAGACCATTAAGGAATTTCTTTAAAATTTTCGGCCTTAAGGAAGAAAAATAGGAAAAATATACAAAAATTTCTTTTAGGCTTAGAATGGATATAGGAATGATTTCGTGTGGTTGGAATTAAGTTTTGGATCAAGTTGTAGTTATGTTAAGTTTATGAGACTATTTTGCAAAGTTTGGGAAATTAAAGGATTAAGATGTGATTTTTTGAAAATTTAAGTATTGTGCTGGAAATTTTGTCAGAATGTTGAATTGTGGTTAAATTAGAAAATGGTATGAGATTAAGGATCAATTTAAAGGCTTGAGAAAAGATTAGTGATGAAATGATAAAAATATAAAGTTAAAGTACTAAGTTGGAAGTTGTGAAGAATGATGAATATGGTGATTGATTTAGGATTGAAAGTCATCATGAAGGGATTAATTTGAGAAGTTGAGATAGAATTGATTAAATTATAGAAATTATTATCGACTATATTATGGTTTTTTTTAGGTAAATGCATATTTATATGTTAGTTAGGTACTAACATATATCTTGAAATTTTATTTGTCGGATAAATTAATTCTCAGATAGAATGTGACCGCAAATCAAGTTAAATCGAGCAAAAAGAAAGATACAAATGACCAGAGTGAAAGCAAAACCGACACAAAGATTTACTTGTGAGGCAAATGTGAGTGCATCTAACTTATTTTATATATATTTATACAATGAAGAAGACTCGCGATGAGTCGACCTCGATTATTTAAAAGAAACATTTTTTACGTACCTAGAAATTATATTTTTATAATTTCATTATACTGAATTTAGATGCTTTTAAATATGAATTTCATGAGACATGTTCTTCTTATATTTTATTTTAGCTACATGTTTGAATGAATTTACATGTGAATGTTATAATTTTAATAAAAGCCCAATGTGTATATTTAAGAGTGTGAGGTACAAATAGCATGCCATGAGATGGAGTGACTATATGATATATAAGTTTATATGACACCTATGGTGCAACCCTACGAGGCACTTTCAACTGCACTACGAGACCTATGAGACACTTTTAAGTACATATAGCGCGCGCACTCGACGATACTCAAGTATCTAATATTCTCGGTTATAAATATTATTTTATTATTTTAAGTGCATACAACGGACGATGATTATTTTATGTATTTTTAAATTTAATGATA